CCTATATCAGAAGTTTAAACTCATATGGTTTAAAACGCATGATTTCAGCACGATAAACATGATAATCAGACCCAAAACAGATGTTTTTAGCAGGTCCCAGCTGTAATGGCGCAGGAAAAGGGGGCGTGGGAACAGCAGCTCATTTGCATTTAAAGAGACAGGCACGAAAACAGCGTGTTTCTGCTTCCACTCAAAATAGGCATTTTCAAAATGATATAATAAATGATCTGTGGGGTATTTTGAGCTGAAACTTCACAGACACATTCTGGGGACACCTGAGAATTATATAACGTATTGTAAAAAGGGGCATAATATGTCTCCTTTAAGGAACTCTAAACATTCAGTTGCCTGTAAGAGCCGTCTATGACATAATACATATAATATGCATTTGTAGAATTGCTTTGTTTATTGTTTTTGTGCTTGCAAATGTTATGTTCTTATTGCATAATGATTGATTTCTGTGAAAGCATGCTGCATCACCGGTGTTGAGTAGGAACATGTCACTGTGGATCTTCTCTCCTGCCATTCCTCCGTGTATGTAGATGTTGGAGCCCACGGCGGTGATCACGTGACCGTGCCGCGGCGCAGGAGGCATCCCTTTGCTCTCCGGCTGCAGCCACGTCGCACTGACTGCAAACAAACACAGTTTCTCAGTGATGCATGCTTCAGTTGTGTCAGTCCTGAATCTACTGTAGTATTTTGTGTTTCTCAGACCCGTATCAAAGACGTGGATCTGAGGATCAGTGACAGGCGAAGCTCCAGCGTCTCCTCCAGAAAACACATAGAGTCTGTCTCTGACACAAGCGGAGCTTGTATGGTACGTCCTGACTGTCGGAGCCGCTCCTTTCACCTGAACCGTCTGCCATGAACCACGGCCTTCAGCATCAGCTGCACGAAGTACAGCATTATAGATAACATACAGCGTAGTTTGGAATAATTCAGATATGTCAGTGTTTTGTAAGACTCTTCTGCTCAGCAAGGCTGCATTTATTTGATCAAAAATACAGTAAAAATTGTTCAATATTATTACAATGTAAAACAGCTGTTTCTATGTGAATATCTGTTAAACTGTAATGTATTTCTGTGATGCGCAGCTGTATTTTCAGCATCATTACTCCAGTCTTCAGTGTCACATGATCTTCAGAAATCATTCTAATATGCTGATTTGCTGCTCAAGAAACATTTCTGATTATTATCAATGTTGAAGACAGTCGTGCTGCACAATATTTTTGTGGAAACTGTGATACATTTTATTTTTCAGGATTCACAGATGAACAGAAAGTTCAAAAGAACAGCGTTTATTCGGAATAGTAATCTTTTAAACCTTACGCATCTCAAATTTTTGAATGGTCGTGCATCACAGTTTCCACAGAAATATTGTGCAGCACGACTGTCTTCAACATTGATAATAATCAGAAATGTTTCTTGAGCAGCAAATCAGCATATTAGAATGATTTCTGAAGATCATGTGACACTGAAGACTGGAGAAATGATGCTGAAAATACAGCTGCGCATCACAGAAATATATTACAGTCTAACAGATATTCACATAGAAAACAGCTGTTTTACATTGTAATAATATTGAACAATTTTTACTGTATTTTTGATCAAATAAATGCAGCAAAAACACTAAAAAGGCCTTAATTATTCCTAATGTTATTAGTAGTGTTTAATGCATGTCACGTCTTGTCTGGTAATATTCAGCGTTTAATAACCTGATGTGCGCAACACTTGAACACAGTTACGGTTCCCGTTCTTCTCGGCTCCAGCAAACACCCACAGACTCTGCGGGTCGCTCTCGGGAACAAAGCTGCAGTGTTCATAACGCGCCTGCAGCCCGACCCAGTCTGGAATGTCCCATTCATGAGCATCTGCAAAAATACAAGGCAGTATGTTACATAACTGCAGATTTCATGGGCTCATATTAACTGAGAAACTACATGCAATGAATTATAAAATGTGATTAATAATGGTTAAAGACACTTAAAAATATATAGTTAATACATTTATATAAATTAAACCAAAAATGCTGATGTTGATTAAACACATTGTAAGTTGTGTACACTGTTAATTCATGCATTAATTACATGCATTACATATTGTGAACTTACAATTAATGTTTTTTTCTGCATTTGTTTGTTTGTGTTTACAAATATGTTACTGTTCATTGTTAGTTTACAATGCACTAGTGATGTTAACATAAACAAATACATGCAATTATATGTATTATTTTATTATATTATATATAAATATATATATATTTTTTTTTATTAATTAAATCAATTAATTTTAAAGTTAGATTGTTCATATCAGGGGGTTTCTATCTTTTAGATGCTATGGATCCCCAAATATGATCATTCTCATGTAAGGGACCCTGATCCTAAAATTTAAAAGGCATATATATAGTTTCTTGAATAAACACCCAATTTATACTCTAAAAATATGACGTTATAAACATGTCTAAAGTATTATTTGGAAAATATTTCATTTCTGTTAAGTTACATTATTTTCTACTATTTGTTTATTAAATTATTTACTTAATTATTTGATCTTATTTGTATTAATCTAGTTTAATCTACATTTTATTTATTTTAATCTATTTTATTCTAATTTTTTATTCATCTACTAATGCAATCTAACATATTTTTTTCAATTTATTTTAATATTATTATTTATTTTACCTTTTTGCACACTATTTTTCTCTAAACTTTCAACAGTTTGTCACTCCTTGCGTTTCCTAGTTTATTTACCAACAGACTGTCTCTGAAGAACACTGGATTTGTGTCTTTATTGCTTTAAACTGTAACAGGACTCAGTTTGTACCCTATTCATGCAGCATGCTGAAGTGAGCGCACTACCTAGATTGATAATGTAAGAATCAGAGAAGCTGCCATCAGGATTGGCTCCACCGACAATTACAATCCGTCCCTTTCCTGCATCACTGGAGGGCAGAAATGTGCAGGTGTGACCCACAGAAACACCAGGACCGGCTCCTGTGGGCACCACGACATACCTGTGAGAGAAACAGACAGCTGTCAAACACACACACACACCACACACTCTCTCTCACACACACACACACACACACACACACACACACACACACACAGAGAGACAACAGTAATTCACAACAGCTGATACCACTGTCTGCTCTGTGGCCGCTCCTCCGGCTCGAGAATAGGCAGCAGCTCCATCAGTCTGAGAGCTTCAGATCATCACTCGGGAGTTTATACTGTATAAACACACATCACAGCATTCTGTTTTAATTGGCTTATGCAATAGTAATCAAAATAGAACTTTTAATTCACATATGTGACCCTGGAGCACAAAAGCAGTGTTAAGTCGCTGGGGTATATTTGTAGCAATAGCCAACAATACATTGTATGGGTCAAAATTATACATTTCTCTTTTATGCCAAAAATCATTAGGATATTAAATAAAGATCATGCTGCATGAAGATATTTGTACATTTCCTACCGTAAATATATGAAAATTAAATTTTTGATTAGTAATATGCATTGCTAAGAACTTCATTTGAACAACTTTAAAGATGATTTTCTCAATATTTAGATTTTTTGCACCCTCAGATTCCAGATTTTCAAATAGTTGCATCTCGGCCAAATATTGTCCTATCATAACAAACCATACATCAATGGAAAGATTATTTATTCAGCTTTCAGATGATGTATACATCTTATGTCTGGTTTTGTGCTCCAGGGTCACATTTATCGAATGAGAACCAATTTCACGAAACCTGTTTCTATGGACGCCGACTCCGTTGCTATCGTCACGTAAAAGCGCGTATTCTACACGCAACACACGAGCGTTATGACGTCATGCCACATCTCCTGCGCGCAATCACAACGACAGCAAACGCTTTACCTTTATAATAAATAATAAATGTTATGACTGATGATGGACGGGTTGGACGAGCGCTACACCGGAAGAGAGAGCAGTTAGTGTGAAAACTGCTATTGTGATGACAGTCTAACCGGAAATAATTTCATAATAAAGGTCTTCATCGTGGCAAAAGCCCTAAGACAGTATAAAATAAAATAAAATAAAATGTGATTTTTTTATTTCAGATTTCATAATTTATATATTTTATAAAATAATTAGTTTACACTTAAATGAAAATATTTTTTATAAATATAATATATAATAATAGAAAAATATTATATAAAAATAACGAAATAATTTAAAAAACCGCTGGAAAATACACATGATAATAATAAATCCTTTATCATAGAAAAAAATTAAATAAGAAAATACGTTAGGAAAATAATAATAAAAACATACAATTATATAAAAGATAGGCTAAAAATAGGCTGTTAACGAAAAGCTTATATTAAAAAGTGAATAAAACGTTAATGTTAATAAAGGCTCTTAAGAAATGTTTATGTCCAGAAATTTTTCTAAAATTATCTGAAATGAAAAAAGACAGTATTATGGAATCAATGCCACATATATTTGAAAAACAGTAAAGTATTGCAAAAGAAAAAGTTTTGGAGGAAAAAAGCACAAAAAAAATATTGCTCAAACTGGGAAAAAAATAAACCATCCTGTTATCTGGCATCATCATGACCTCTCAATATAACATTTCTGTTGTTACAGTGTCAGAATTGTGTGTGTGTGTGTGTGTGTGTGTGTGTGTGTGTGTGTGTGTTCTTTTACGATACACGTTTTGGCGTGGATTTGATTCCGTACACAGTCAGCCCAAGATAACACAGCGCACACCCCCCAATGACCCCGCCCACAGCCACGCCCACAGCCACGCCCACACAGTCACTTTCTGCCTGGAAATCAACAGATGCAGCAGCTCGCTCTCCTCAGACACTCCTTCATCTGTCCTGAGAGAGCTTGACTCTGAGGAATCATCATCATCATCATCATGTCTTCAAACTCGAACCTCACGAGCATGAAACGGACTGTTGAGCAGCTCAAACTCGAAGCCAGCGTGGACAGAATCAAAGTAAGTCTCAGCACTCAGAAGTAAGTGATATTTCATTCAATTCATACAGAGATGCTGGACGATTTCACAACAAACTTCAGTTTATATCTCTAAACGTTTCTAATCACATGTATGCGTTTGTTTATAATAGCAGCATCTGCAGATATGAGATAAATACTAATATTTAACACTACTTCTGCTCTTTATTGTGTTTGTCTAGTATTAATGGATAGCTGTTAGAACGATTTTCATTCACATTCAAAACAAGCAGAAATGTGTGGATGTGATCATTCTTTTAAATATGACAATGCTGTTCACAAATATCCTAAAATATGATATACAGCAAAGCAGCAGAATATGGCTGGATATGAATGAGCAATCATCTTCCTTATGGTTTGTTTAATTTCACTTATTATTATTATTATTGGTCTGATTTGGTTTGATATTGGAGGCAGATACTGTTTGCAACTACTGTTTTACATTATTATTATTATTATTATTATTATTATTAAAACAGACAAAGAAATCATACGCTCAGTGAAATCAAATTATTATAATATATAGTATATATATAGTAGAAAACGGAAAAATAAGGTCTGATATTTTTCAAGATCAGACTAATACAAAGACAATTATGGCAGATTATGATCAGCAATATAATTTGAATCTCTAAAATTATTAATAATAATAAATATATATGTATATATATATAAGAGTTCATTTGCAAAAACAGATAACTCCATTTTTAACAATTTTGAAAAATCATGTTTTTTCATTTCCAGTTAATCTCAATCAAACTGCAGTTGGGTTATTTTGATTTTTTTTTGTTAGGTAAAAAATAACTAATAAATACTAGCTACCTAACACAATAAAACACAATAAAAAACATTATAAAATAATAAAAAACATGATTTTTGAAAATGTAAAAAAACTGAGTTATCTTTCTTTGCAAATAAACTCTTCATATATATATATATATTTGTATATGTAATTGAAAATTCTGTGATATTAAGAGGCCAGATATCAGGATGGTTAATTTCTTCCAATTTTGTGCAATAGAGGGCACATTTATTATGACAAGCAGTCATTGATTTGGTCATTTAGAGTTTGACACACAGTTCCTTCTCCGTTTGATCTGAGTGTGTTTGTAACGCAGGTTTCTCAAGCCGCTGCAGATCTACAGCAGTACTGCCTGCAGAACGCCAGTAAAGACGCGCTGCTGGTTGGTGTCCCGGCCGGGAGTAACCCGTTCAGAGAGCCGCGCTCATGCGCCCTGCTCTAGAATGAAGGTACACAGTCTTATGAGTGACCACAAACACCTCACAGCTCACTTATAACGCAAGAATGAGCCTTTTGTGAATGCGTGAATGTGTGAGTCTTCCGGTTTCAGACAGTTTTGGTTATTTTAGCTTGTACAAAAACAGTCTGGTATACTGATTGCAAACTGGTATTACTATTTTAATTTATTATCATATTCATAAACATGCTGGCTTGTTGTGCCAATAGTTTTACTGTCTACTAGGGGTGTAACAATACACTCACAATACAGAAACAAATGAATTAAAATAAATAAAAATTATATTTAAAAAAATTGCGTAAATGTTTGTATTTAAAATAATAAATTTGAATGAATAAATAAAAATTAGATTAAAATAAATAAATAAATTAAGAACACATCTATCAGTATGGTAATATAAATATGTAACAATTTCAATATTTGAAATATTTTTCAAATAATAATTAAAAAATGGTAATTGTGACTTTTTATCTCACAGTTTCAACTTTGTTTCTCGCAATTCTGAGAGAAAAGTCATAATTGCGAGATATAAATTTACAGAAGAAAAGTCAGAATTGTCCGATATAAACTCTGAATTGTGAGAGAAAATTCACAGTTACCTTTTTTATGTTTATATTCTGTTGTGAAAAAAAAAAAAAAAAACAGAATTCCGAGATGTAAAGATAGAATTGTGAGAAAAAAGTCAAAATTGCAAAATATAAACTCTAATTTGAGAAGAAAGTCAGAATTGCTAGATGTAAACAGAATTGCGAGGGGGGGGGAAAAATCAGAATTGCAACAGTTTATATCTGTTTAACTCTGACTTTTGTCTCAGAATTGCAAAAACAAAGTCCAAATTGTGATAAATTAAAAAAAAAAAAAAAATTTCGTGGCATAAACCAGCTTCCATAGAAAACAGCTTACTTCTGTATGCAAAATAAGCTGGACATTTATAGAGCTCCAACAGTCATGATATTTACATGAGGGAGTGACGAGCAGTAATTAAATAAGCCAGCATGAAGTCAATATGTGTTTTAAAACTGTGTTTTTGAAATGGAAATAAAGAGTCATTGTAACGTTTCGTCTCGACTCATTTGTGTATTTGTCCTGAAGTTGCTTGCAGCTTCTCTTACTATTTAAATATAAGCTCATTTCACCCAGATATATTCTCAATAGTCATACGCAGCTGTGTGGGATATTATTTTTAGCCCGGAGTGTTGGACTCGCATCCGGCTTTCTGTTGGGAAGCCTGATCCGACTCTTTTACATCAACAGGAAGTTGGGTTTAGAGGAATGGGGGAAGTAGAGGAAGTGCTGGGATAGTGGTGCTAAAAAACTGTGCTTCGTCTTTTTCTCTAATATATGTGTTTCTTTAAAAATGTGGCTAAAGGAAAATGAGTCATGACTGCACAGTCAGCCAGAATTCAGATTCAGGAAAGCATCTGTCCAACTTCTGCTCTTGACCAGCATGAGTTCGTCTGTGGTTTGATGCTATACTTAGTTCAGCACGAGATGTGTCGAAACACGTCTGGCTTTTCAATGGATTTAGTCTCCGAATTGCAAAGTGTTGAAGTATGAAAGTTTTGTCATGTTTACTCATTCAAATCTTCATGCATCTCTTTTGAATAAATCAGCTTTCCATTGATGTATGGTTTGTTAGGATAGGACAATATTTGGCTGAGATACAACTATTTGAAAATCTGGAATCTGAGGGTGCAAAAAAATCTAAATATTGAGAAAATCATCTTTAAAGTTGTCCAAATGAAGTTCTTAGCAATGCATATTACTAATCAAAAATTAAGTTTTGATATATTTACGGTAGGAAATTTACAAAATATCTTCATGGAACATGATCTTTACTTAATATCCTAATGATTTTTGGCATAAAAGAAAAATGGATAATTTTGACCAATACAATGTATTGTTGGCTATTGCTACAAATATACCCCAGCGACTTAAGACTGCTTTTGTGCTCCAGGGCTTATTCTTGGTCGAACATCATCTTTTGTGCTCCACAGTATGGTTTTGGACAGATTTGTGCCATTTTTAGAATGAACTGTTCTTTCAGAATTGATTAAATACTAAATGTTTCTATTTATTTTTCACATTTATTTTCCTTTTTTTTTCACAGGAGAAAGGAGGAAGATCAATGGAACGCTGATCTTTTACATTATGCAACAACATGACATGAAACTTCATGAGATATATTGTGCAAATCTGAGAATATTGATGCCTTAAATTTAATATATCTTTAAATATTCAGCTTTTTTGGTCGGATGCTAAAGACTTATTTGAAACTGAAGCATTGGTTCTTATGAATGATTTGGATTTATCTAGAAGAAATTATTTTAAAAACAATTTAAAAAACAGAGATTTGTCTTTTTTTTTTTTTGTCAAATTAAGTGTTAATTGTGATTTGTCCAGCCAATGAAAAAAAAATAAAAATAGTAGTCCTAGTAGTCAATGATTTAAAAATGCAAAATAAATATTATCTACGTATATACATATAATTTATACATATATGTATCTCACAGTGTTTCAAATATAGTTAAACTAACATCTCTACACTGTTAAGAGCATAAACTCTATAGGTTTAAAGGCAAGAAAAGATGTGCTGAAGATGAAGGACATGATAGACAATGTTTTTCTTTCGTGGGTAAATAAATGATCTGTTATGAAATGAACCTGTTGCTCTGGTGATAATCAGGTCAATCTGGGTTGACACAAAATTACTTCTGTGACAATTATGTCTGTGACCCGAGTCTATCTATAGTTTTAGGCAAAAATATAAACTGCAGCTTGGAAGCTCCCACAGTCACGAGCAACCAGGAAATATCAGGGAATTTTAAAAAGGAGTTTCCAGTCATTGAAATGTAAAAGCCATGGAAATTTCTATCGCGAGTGTCCAGTTGTGTAGTTATGCCCTACTCGATCAGTATTTCCACACAGTTTCAGTGAAAGGAAACATTCACTTCCTGTTTCTTGTCATCGCTTTATTCTGGCTCCGAGAGTATGAAGATAAATCCACTTCTGTTGTGACACTGAGTTTATATAAGATGATCTTTTGTTCATTCAAACCTTTATGCATTTGAATATTGTCCATCTTTCTGGTACATAATGCAAATCTGTGTGGTTGTGTTTTGTGTAACAGATACACTCATATCAGCACGTGTTTAATAGTGAATAGTGTCCATAAACACAATCTTTCGTTCATTTTAAGATTTCTAAACTGATTTCTAAATGGCTTCAGTATCACTTCCCTCTCCACATGAGCAAGCATTATAAATCATTTTTGATTCATTTGGTCTGTTTCCTCAGAGAATATTACATCTGGGCACAGATTGTCAGATAATAACATATGCAACACACACCTAATAATACACAAAACCTTTCAAACTGGCACTGCAACTTTGTTTACAACATATATATATATATATATACAGCATATACTGTAGTATGTATACTGTGTGCCTTTATGCAGCAGCAATATATCCACTAACGGAAATCTTGAATGTAATATGTATACTTACTGTATAATGCCTGTTATTTTATTAAATTCAGTATGAAAAATAGTATGAAATATGCAACAATCTGTGTACTATATAGATATATAAAGGCCCAACAATATTTAGACACACGTATGTCACATACAATTCACTGTAGAAGAAAATATCAACAGAATTAAAAATCTACAGGATCATTTTTGCTCAGTGAATTAATTAAATTAACTAATGAACATGTGATGCGGGGATTTCATAATCACCTTTGGCCAAAAAAAGTGAGCTTATGCTATTTTTCTTTTTTATGACACTTTCATATTTTTTGTTATTTAATGACCATTATACATTGATAGCAGAGCTTTTATGTTTTTTATTTTTTATTTTATTTATTTTTGTTTAAATATAATTTAATTTGTCACTTTTTTGACACCATCAGTCAAAAAAAAAAGGATTAATTAAGATTTTTTTTTTAATGTGTCTGAAGTCCCTTCTGCTTGTGTTGTGAAATATTATTAGCATTTAAAATAGCTGTTTTCTATTTATGTGGTAAAATGTAATTTATTCGTGTAAATACATTTTTTAGGATTATTTTATGAACAGAAAGTTCAAAATAACAGCATTTATTTTAAATAGATTTTTTTAATGATTTCTAAAGGATCATGTGACACAAAATACTAATGATGCTGAAATTCAGCTTTGATCACAGAAATCAATTACATTTTATTCACATAGAAAACAATTAAATTGTAATAATATCTCTCAATATTACTGTTTTCACTGTGTTTTTGTACTACTTTCAAAAAATAAATAGAAAATCGGCTTTTAATCGGTATCGTGTCTATGAATTAGTGTCTGTGTGTTTTTTTTCTTTTTATTTACACACACACACTCACACACACACACACACACACACACACACACACACACATTTTAATAATTGATTTAAGCTGGGGTTTATCCTAATAAATACAATAAATAATGTAGTATGTGAGGTGTGACTGAAGTGACGCCTCGTTAGCTCCTCCTGCTGGAGGATCTGCTGAAGTACAGCTGTGTCTTGTGCGCCTGCGCAGTAAGTCATCACGAGTTGTGGGCGGGGTTTGTTTGAGCGGCTGCGAGGCGAGCAGCATCAGATCCGCTGCGAGTGTAGATCGGTGTGTGAGTCTCCGATACCCCGCAAACCGCTCAAAATAAACCCGGGGACAAGTTAAAGCACATATACGGCTGTCTGTCCGCCGGGAGAGGAGGAGCAGCGGGAGGTTTCGCTTCCTGGACAGCCTCTCTGTGCGGGGGAATCGAGCCGGGCCATGGCGCGGGACTATGATTACCTCTTCAAGCTGCTCATCATCGGCGACAGCGGTAAGGAAACACCGAGGATGAGACGGGAAGCAGGCCTCGGCTCGCTTAGAACGACACTTACATGAACTAGAACCTCTTCAGATGGGTTATTTGTGCTGGATACACACGTAACACTTCTGTGTTGATTAATTTGACAGCTTATAAATGACATTGGATGAGGTCGATAGGGATGTTGTTTCGCTTTAGCTCATATAATGGGCCTGTCAACAGTTTAGAGTAATAATACAGTCTAGGTGTGTTCTGAAATTATTTTTTATTGTCTAATAAAGTAAAATATTAATATGTTATGTTGACTGGCATATTAGTTGAACTGTCTGTGACAGAATCGATGTATAAGCAAACTAAGTTAGATGCATTAGTTGTGGGATTTAGTGTCATTTTCAGCCTGGGATCTATTTATTTAATGTTGGGATGTTGTACTGATATATTATTAAATAAAAGGGAATAAAATAAATCAATAAATAATATTTAAATTTAAATTAAGTATTAAAAAGTAATAAAAATGTGTGTGTAT